GACAGAGAGTCGAAGCCTATTCAGCGGGAAAAAGCGAGAGGCACGCAATTCGGACTGGAGCCCAGTGGTCTGATGGAAGCGTGAAACTCGTCATCGGTCGGTGATGATCGGCGGTACTCTGCAGTAGGGGTTGAGTGGTGTGGGTTCGCGACCCTTGAGACTCGACCGGGACAGCGAAGGCTCGACGCGGTAATAGCGGCGAGGCGTCCGGTACGCACGGGGCATGGAGACGGGCCAGGGCTCTGGTGGTCATACATGTGGTGAGAAAACTGCGAATTTGACTCGGGATGACTAAAAGCAACGGTAAAATTCCTTCAAGTTTTAGACATGCGGTCAAGAAAGGAGCGGTGATGTTGAGTTCAGGTAACTCTTATGTGTGACACCCAATATGTGAGTTGTTCATTTTCACGTAGATCAGTGATTAGTGTGTGATGCGTTGAACGAAGCTCTGGAAGTTGGGAGCATACACTAGAGTAAAGAGGAACTTAATTTTGCTCGAGTGTTGACTGTGGTCAAAAAAAGAAGGGACTACAAGTTGCAGGTGGAGTCATATGGAGTCTTTGGAGTAGCAGTGGTGCTCATAGGATAAGCTCAAGTCCAATGTACATGAAAGTTTTACGCATTGCCAAATTTAGGGTGGTGGAGAATATTCGTAAAGGTGGAGTTTGTTAGAGTTGTGTCGAATATTGTGTACAAGTTAGGTTACAGTTGGACTCTGAGTTGTATTGTGTTTAGATAGGATATGGAGTCGTGTCCTAATAGGACACTTGTATCCTAGGCCTCTCATATATAGCGGGGCTAGACACACAATGTAACCTATGCGAACATAATAGCACCAGAAAGCAGGCGAAGCCGGCGGCATGTGTTGGTGTCCAGGATGACCGGGTGCGGTATTGTAGCGGTGTCATGGGGAGGAGCGCCCATAGTCAAACCCCGGGGATGTAGCCATATCGATAAATCTTGTTAACAAATCTCAGTGTCGTGCTCGTGTGATTGCTTGGTCCTTAGATAATCGACGATATGCCTCAGATTTATTCTAACAAAAACTAAGAAACCAAGAAAAACCAGTGAAAATCTAGCTCGTTTTGCCTCAACCTCAAGTAGGTGGCGCCCTAGTACTATGGCAGGAACTCGACGCTAGCTCGCTAGCTAGCACCGCACGTAACTATCGAGCAGACCAGGGACCGAATCCCTTGTGAGGTCCCTTTTTATTTGCTTATTTACCATTTTAGTGTTCGCGAGTGGGCCGGCCTAGTTGCCTGCGCAAGTCACTATTTCCTTTAGCGAGAGCAGATTCCATCTCGCTTAAGACGAGATATAGCTCCCGCGGGAGAGGGAAGGGGATTGCGGTGAAGTCTAAACTGTGGAGTTGAACCGTTGGAGGGCGACGCTCCTATTAGAGCCCAAGGGAACAAGAAAAGGAATGACAATATTGGCCCATACATATCACCCATGAACTAGTGGCAGCTCCCTTTTTTTTCGCTTGTTACCATTTTTGTGTTCGTGAGTGGGCCGACCCAG